AAGGTAAAGGAAAGAAAATCTCCCAGTAAAACTACAAGAAAATTCAAAGTAAAATAGGAATATTTATGGAAAAATGGCAGAGCAAAGTCATTACTTATCAAAAGTCACCTGGAATGTAAATTGCATTAACTCTCCAGTTAAATGACGTGACCTAGCTGAATGGACTAAAAGAGAAAACCGATTTATTTTCTACCTATAAGCAGCATCTCTCACTAACAAAAATGCATGCAGACTGAAAGCAAAAGGATGGAAAAAGATATCCCATGCTAACAGAAACAAAAAAGCGCTGGTGTACCATCCTGATATCAGACAAAATAGACTTTAACACAAAAAAATGTCAAAGAGACAAAGCAAGACACTATGTACTGATTAAGGGATCAATTCAACAGGAAGATGTGACTATTATAAACGTATGTGCACCTAATATCAGGCACCTGGCTATTTAAGAGAAATCTTAAGGTATGTAAAAGGAGACATGGACTCCAATACAATTGTAATGGGGGATTTCAATACCCACTTCCCGCAAGGGACAGTTCAACCTGCCAGAAAACCAACAAGGAAACAGCCAAGTTATTAACACTATATACCAATTGGATCTTACAGATATCTACAAAACATTTTATCCTGCAGTAAAGAAAATACATTCTTTTCACCTGTGCATGCAACTTTCTCTAGGATTGACCATATACTAGGCCATAAAGCAAGTCTCAGCAAATTCAAAAAAATCGAATTATACCATGCATCATCTCAGACCGCAAGGCAATGAAGCTGGAAAGCAACAGCTCAGGAATCTCCAGGACATATGCAACCACATAGAGACTAAACAACATGCTCCTGAATGAACAGTGTGTCATAGAATAAGTCAAAAGAGAAATCAAAAACTTTCTGGAAACAAATGCAGATGACAATACAACATATCAAAACTTAGGAGATACAGCAAAAGCAGTGTTAAGAGGACAGTTTATGCCAATTGGGGCATATATCATGAAACTGGAAAAGGAGCAAATAAATGAACAATCAATGCATCTCAAGGATCTAGAAAAACTGCAGCAAACCAAACGCAAAACTAGTGAGAGAAAAGAATACCCAAAAGTAGTGAAGAAATCAAAGTCATTCTAATTGGGAAATTGGAAGCCAAACAATCCTGATTAGCAGATGACGCGATTCTCTATATAGGGAATCCAACAGACTCTACCAAAGGACTCTTTGAATTCACAGGAGAGTTTGGTAATTTAGCAGGATATTAAATCAATACACAAAATCAATAGCATTTGTATACATAGACAATGCTATGGCTGAGAAAGAACTTCTAAGATCAAACCCAATCACAATAGCTACAAAAAAATCAAGTACCTTAGCATACATTAACCAAGGATGTCAAAGAGCTCTGTGATTAGAAGTAAAAAACATTACAGAAAGCAATAGAAGATACCAAAAAATGGAAAAATCTTCCATGTCCATGGATTGGAAGAATGAATATCATCAAAATTTCCATTCTTCCAAAAGCAATTTAGACATTTGATGTGATACCAATCAAAATACTAAAGACATCTCCTCATATCTAATGAAAATGATGCTGAAATTCATATGGAAACACAGGAGACCTTGAAGAGCTAAAGAAATCTTATACATCAAAAACAAAGCCGGAGGCATCACAATACCAGCTTTCAAGACATACTACAAGGCAGTTATAATCAAAACAGCCTGATACTTGTACTCAAACAGATGGATAGACCAATGGAATAGAATATACATGCCAGAAATCAATCCAAGCACCTACAACCAGCTTTTATTTGACCAAGGAGCTGAAACATCCCTGGACTAAGGACAGTCTCTTCAACAAATGGCACTGGAAAAACTGAATTTCCACATGTGAAAGTGTGAAGCAGGATCCGTACCTTACACTTTACACAAAAATCCATTCAAAAAGGATTATAGACCTAAATCTATGACCTGATATCATAAATATATTAGAAAACAT